ACAATGGACAGTGTCAAGGTGATACATAATAAGTATTCCACCACAAGCACAATGAATTATTTTTAATATTTTAAATGGAGAATTAGAAATTTTACAGACAGGTACCAGAAGTATTTGTGTCTGGGCTGGGTTGGCAGAAGAAACAAAAACTGGTCCGGTGAGTTTGGCTCTCCCTCCCCTGCTGGTCCCTCAGGCTATTCACACATTTACAGGGTGTCTAATTGGGCTATTCAGAGTCGTCAGTTTCGTCCACATTTGGATGCTAATAACCTAGTTGGCCCTCTGTCGGTAGTTCTTTGGTAGAGATAGGCATTTTTCAAGATCCTGGTAGTCCTAGTGTTAAGAACAAATCTGTGCGTACAAATGGTTCTTGCATGAGGCCCAATATTCTTAATCTGTATAATCAATWGTGGCTTTTCTTGCAAATTCCTATTAAACAGCTTACGGCATCATAAAAGACAAATTCATGGCTGGACATTGATTTTTGTAAGTTGTCCTTTAAATTTTTTCTCTGATTACATGAGAGTCTTGTTACTATAGAGCAACAAGGTAATATATTAAAGAGTAGGGTTACTTTGAAGCCAAAAGGTAACAATCTGAGGTCAAAGATCAATAATAAGTTCATTTTTAATGGCTATTAACCTGGGGAGATAGGATAACTCCCCTTTAACAGTTCTCTTGAGACCTATTGTGCAGGTCACTAAATTTCATTTCGGTCACAATAAGAAGTGCACATCCTACGAAGGGCGCGGCTGCCCGAGAACAGTGGTGACCGGCAAACGGAGGCATCCTGAGCTACTACGCCGACCCAGAGGCCGGGGTTCACGAAGGGAGCAACCAATGGAAGGAGGGTAGCCTGAGACTGAGCTCAAGGCTCCCGCCTGATGACTCCTAGAGGAGACACGCCAGACTCAGCAGCACAGGTCACCCCCAGGTGGCTGTAAGTCCGGTCCATCGCCTCCAAACCAAGAGGGAGACATCGTCTCCTCTCCAAGACCCATCAGTGTCCTAGTGGGTAAACTGGGGGAGGAGCCACAACGGATTTCAGCTGATGTAGGGTCACTGGAGCTCAGGCGTGTTAAACATTTGTATGGAGAGACATCAGGTGCTCAGTAACTAAATGGTATCTAGAGATTAGCATATCGTTCCTAGTGAACAAAATAAATAAAATAAAACCCTAAGGTTTAAAAAAATGTATAAAGTCGGTTGACTTACAAGTGAAATAAAAATTGATAAGCTAATATTCTAACAGTGATGTTCTAACACCACTGGTTTCTATTCATCCTAAGGAACTAAAAGAAGATCTTACTCAAAATATCTCTTTGTTTTTCTTTAAAGGGGTACATGCAAGAACTTTAGCTTAACAAAAGAAAAGGGAGATATTTAAAGGGGCACATGGAACTGTAGCAGTCACCTGAAGAACAGTTCTACTTCATGACTTGGTCAACACATTCCTCAAGCCCACGTCTACAGAGAACAATGACTTATTCCATTATATCTAAACCTTTTGGTTCACTATCTACAGGTGGTAAGATAGTGAACAGGACATGACAAACTCCTATTGATTAAGCACTGTTTGAGACCTCTTTCATGTGCTCAAAATGGCCGTTTTTTTACAAAGAACTCAAGCTTTTTGCAGACTGAAAGTCTACCCAAAAGTAGATTTGCCAGTCACACGAACCTGTGAGACCAGACCTCCTGTTGGTATATTGCCCCCAGGCAAACTTCAATAGGCCCATATGCATACCATTTCATTTATGGTTTTAGAGCACCCCCGAAAGGCTGGTTTCATAATTACATCATGGACAAATGTCTTTCTGTTATTTGTCATCTGATAAAAAAAGAAGAAAAAAGAACCATTGTATTTTTCTTTCATGATTTAATCACTGTAATAATGCCCTGTTTTAATTACTTCACAGGTAATCTATCATTCTGTGTGTGTTTAATCAATTTAGTAGTAAGGTACCGTGAAAAGGAAGATAGATMATGTGACTGTTTTYAGCCAATCCTGAGTGTACAGTCAGGGACAATAGATCACAGTTTTGCTAGTTGAGCAGAGCTTTGTTAGAAGAAGAAGGAGAAGAAGCAGAGAGGACAGGAGTTTCCGGTTCTTCATTCCCTTCGGGGACATTTTATTTTATTTCATTTTTAATTTTAATTTTTTTAGTTCATTTTATAGTGCGGGGATTGGGTTTATTCAGGAACCGAACTTGACCAGAACTTCTTTTCAACCAACACGGATCCAGAAGCAGACTCCTCATTTTCCAGCTTGGAGCCGACTCAAGCAGTTTCGGTGTGTTAAGTCTGTACCCGCAAGGGACCGCTCTGAAATCGGGCGACATCGCTGACCCAGCCTCGCTCGGACCTCGGTACCCTGGGACAAACCTTACAATGCATCGAATTGGTAGGACAGAAAAGCTTTCTCTGTTTGGTGGTGGGCTCAGCTGAAGTGGWGAAAAAGAGAGTGTTCTGGATCACTATGCTTGTATTGAAGGAACAGTTGGCAAGTTAATTCCTTTATAATTTACGTCCCTCCTTGATAGATGGATTGATACTTTCTTTTGATTAACCTTTAAGTTTTCATCTATTTTGCTAGTGTAGAACTAGTTTAGGAGATTCAGTTGAATAATGCTAGAGGTGATTAAAGGGTGATAATTTTACATTATTATTAAACTACAGGGTCTCGTGATAATAATGTATTTTTGTTGCCCAAATAATCTGTCTGTATTGTTACCTCTGAATCACTAATACAAGGTWTATTATGAAATTTCCATGCTCGTCTGTGCATTTATTTATTTGGTTCGCCCTCTAAACTGAAAGAATTCGCTATTCAGTGTGAGACTGACTAAGATCTATAAGATTAATTTCCTGTTTTACAGGTGGTGCCCCCTTTTTATGCTAATAAGTTATGAGAAACTTATAATTTAGCAACTGTTCAATAATCAACAATAATATTCCCCTACAGTATATTTTGGTGCCCCGTGTGAGGCTCAGAAGAGACGTGAATCCGATAATAGATGCACAGTAGAGCATATTTCTTCTCATATTTATTTTCTGAGTGCACAGTRTACGTCACTGATTAAAATGGGGGACATTTTAATCTACGCATATCAAGCTGCGCCGCTAWGGAAATAAAATAGCTTAATCAGAACGGACGCGTTGTGATTTTGCATGAAGACTGAAGCCCTTATTTGTATTTTATTTTTCCCTCTTTCTTCCCTTTATGCGCAATTCTTATTTTTAATTTTTATTTAGCTAAAGACATCAAGAGAGAACGATCAAATTTCTTTATGAAAACATATAACAGAAAAGCAGTTTCTAGTTTTATAACGCGCGCTTGAACAGAKTCAACAGGTTTCAGAAAGCAACTGAAAAAATAGTTGTTTTTCTGAACCATAATAATTTGTACTTTCCTCCGCCATGATAGCAGTGGAAAATCAAAGCCACACCACTTTCTAAACACGGACTAATCAACCGCATTTTGGAAGATTTTTTTCTTTATAATAAGGACAAAAAAGTAAGGTGAAATTTAACTCTGACAGAGTTATCCAACTTGGAAAGATTTTACGCGCAGCTCCTCGCCAAAGCGCCTTCGTGCGTCTCCAATCGCTACGTGCGCGGTCACAGAGCTGMTGTGAATGCTTAAAAGTTTTGCTAAAAACTTAGTCAAAACAGACCTCTTTCTGAGTTCAAAGTGCTAACTGGTTGTAAAACGCGCTGAACGTGATTTCACTGCGTAAATTGACCTCTATTTAAAGGYGCGGAACAAAAGCCTCAGTTGAATTTCTGCTGCTGTGTTCCAGCTGCTGTGCTGGGGTTTTGCTGTTTGCATTTAAGCTGTGTTTAGCTGTTTGCATTTTTTTTATTTTAGCTGTGTGTTCAAACGCTGTGTTTAAAAGCCGTGTCATTATAAATGCATGAAGATGCATCTTCTGCTCAGATTA